TGAGATCAGTGTAAGAAGCATGCCCATGTATTTCAGAATATTGTTTTACCTCAGACAAGTGAAATTAAAAGTCTGCAATTCACCAAAAATATTTTACCCTTAGCATAATATATGGTATGTTTCTGTTTTCCTCTTCAGAAGTAGACTTAGGAAGCAAATTCCTATAAAACTTAATTGCCCATTTAATCCAACATGTATACTTTAGTCTGCAAATATATAAACTAAAAAAGATTTACCTTAATTAAATTTAACAATATTTTGTATAAAGCTTTTGTGTTTAAAAAGCATTTTCATATATACTATTTCATTTTACCTTCATAATCATCCTGTATGATAAATGGAGACAATATTATTATGGTAAGAACTGTGTTAGAGATAAGAAAAAGTTCTGAGAAATTAGATGATTTCTCAACATCACAAAGGATGAGACACAAGACTTAGGTCAGCTTCCAGTCACAACTCACGAAGATCCCTTGAAAACTATGGTTGATTTTTGTCAATCTGCATAAAAGTGACAAGTAACTCCACTCAACCCTCATGAAAACAAATTAAATACCTGCACGTTCGGTACAAGAGAAAGCAAAGAAGTCATAAGGGACATTTGCAGTACATTAACTGCCTTTCAAGATGACTTCGTATTTTTTACTGTATAATAACATGTGACTAGTATGTCCTCTGGTTCATTTATATTCCTATTCATAATTACGGCCAATTCATCTAGTTCAGATAAGAAGAAAGTAGAGCACATTCAGAAGTCTCAGGATAAGAGATCAGAAGATACGAAACTGGCTAGTATTCCCCCTGAAGAGATCAAGAAGGGGAGCGGGGACAATTATGAGGAATTAGTGATAGAAATTAGCAAGAAATGGAAACGTATGAAGGTAAAGAAAAAAATATATCTCTAAATGGAAAAGAAAAAAATTTAAGTTTCAAATGCTTATTTTTAAGTCAATAACACAGAAGAAACCTGATCATCAATACTATCCATGAAGCTATCAGAAAAGACTTTGCCATTAAGGATTTTAGTGTTTTAGAGCTGATCTATAATTGAAAATTTGTTCATTTCATTAATCTGAAGATTCGAGGATATGCAGAAAGCAATAACTTCATTGTACAGAAAGTATACATTTCAAGCCAGTGAGTTTAGAATTACTTTCAAGACCAATTAAAAGAACTGACTAATCCATCCTAAAAATGGACTTAATACTGATCAATGTACACGACTGTTCTAATACTCAGTTATAACACTTCTCCATATTTCTTTTCTGTTAATATTCATCATTGCTATAGAACAGATGGTATAAGCCTCAGCTCTATCACAAAATCTTTCATTAACAAAGTTTTTCTCCATTGAGTCACGGGAAAAAAAGAACAAAAACGTCTGAAAATAGGGAAGAAAAAACCCAATGAAGAATAACACATCTCTTGTTAAATAGTAGAAATTCTGTACCATCTGCTACCTTGTTCCGTCACACTTTACAGCTGTCACTGTGCCTAGGGAGGACATGCCATGTAAACTAATTTGCTTCCACCTCCACAATTCAAATCAGAGCAAAAAACTAAACAATATTTTACTGGTAAACAGTAAACAATATTTTACTGGTAAACCAGTAAAATATCAAATTAAATCAAGTAAAATCTTGAAGAGATACTATTCTTGAAACATAACTACAAATGTTCAATTAGTTTCTACCTATCATTGCTCTTGAGAAAAAAACACAATAATCCATAATCAGTTATTTAAAAATAATTTTTAAAATCGGATCCAGTGTCATGTGGAAAAATGATCTGTGATGCTTTTTAAAAGATCCGAGTTTTTCATATATTGTGAAGGATTAACAAAATACAAAAGCATTAAGTAAAAGTAATGTGAAATTCACAAAATAAAGCAGAAAGGAGCACTTCTGTGTTAAAATAATGTAATTCTCCCTGTACATTTCTGTCCACATGAGCCAACAAACATCAAGAATACACACTTTACAGTATTTACCTGTTTTAAGACATTCAAGTCAATTCAGATGGCAAAAGTAGAATTCAATCACTAGTGAAATGTTTTAAAAATATATATTAAACCAAAAAAATGTTTTTACAAGATAAAAAATAATCTTCCACAATGTAATTAATTGCAGATCATTGAAATTTTAACTCTTTAGATGATTTCAGTTCAGTTTTTTGGTTTCAAGATCTAGAGACAGTCAAACAAAAGCACAGGCAGAATCTCTATCTGTTTTTACGTTTCTCTTTCTTGCTTCGACTACTTGTTGCACTGTTTAAAGATGATGATGAAGGTGCTCTTGCATGACCTGTGGCCTTTAGATGGTCAAAAAGTTTATTCCGGGATGGAAATTCACTATGGCAGGTTGTACAGCTGATAAGAACATCACTCTGAGAAGGGCAAAAAATCATAAATAAAAGTAAGCATCATCACTTAAGAGTAGTGTTTTAGGTTTTAATGTCAAGATTAAGCATCAAACAATTGTAAAATAAAGATGTTTTAACAGAGTGGACAGCTAATAAACAGGTCCAACAAAGGCAGATGTTCTTGGAGGTTAAATCCCACTAATCAACACAATTAACTTTAAGGGTCCTGAGACTTTCAATAGCATGTACCCCATGGACTAGAACGGAGGAAGAGTTTATGCTTCACAATTAATCTCCAGAACTTGACACATGTAATTCTTACCACCAAGGCTTTAGATTGAAAAGTAACAGAAAGCAACAGTAACTGTTCTGGTACAGTCGAGCATTTCCAATGTGCTTCTTTTTATTTTAATGAAAAAAAGATACATTATGTATACAAATTCTACCTTTATCAAACAAAACTGTTGATGGATCCACGTCTTTGCAGGTTCTTTGGGGAATGGCTCACCAAATACACATTTCCATCTTTAGATCATTATATTGCTTAAACAGCAAGACATGCCAAAGAGATACAAATATGATTTTGACCTACCATTGCCTGTGGTTCAGCAGGTACTTTGACAGGTTTTTTCATATCTTTGGTTTTCTTTCCTTTGGGTTTAGGAACACTGGAAAATAAATAATTCAGCATAATAAAAAAAAACATACTCCTTTTAATCATCATTATTTGAGTGCTCTAAAGAACACTCAAAAAAGTGAAATGCACTTTAAAGGTTAATTCATTAATTTTAAAGGCAATTTAAATAATCTTTACATTCAAATGAACAGCTTTAAAAAGCAACTTCAGAAATCAAATTGAATATCAAATTTGGCATAAAAATTAAGGAATTTACTTAAAACAGTTGAAACAAAGTTAAAACAAGGTTCTTAAAATATTTCTGAATGTTTTATACAGTGTTTTCATAAAAAGCAAAGCACTGCCACGCGCAGTGGCTCACACCTGTAATCCCAGCACTTTGGGAGGCCAAGGCGGGGAGATCACTTGAGGTCAGGAGCTTGAGACCGGCTTGGCCAACATGGTGAAACCTCCGTCTCTACTAAAAATACAAAAAATTAGCTGGGCGTGGTGGCAGGCACCTGTAATCCCAGTTCCTTGGAAGGAGGAGCAGGAGAATCACTTGAACCCAGGAGGCAGAGACTGCAGTGAGCCAAGATTGTACCACTGCATTCTAGCCTGGGTGACAGAGCAAGACTCTGTTTCAGAAAAAAAAAAAAGCATGAAGCACTCAATATTCCATTTAAAGAAGCAAACCATCTTCATAACCAACCAATAGTAATCATAAATGATCTGACATGAAGTGTGGTTCCCCAAAAACATTAACTTCTTTTTTTTGTTTGTTTTTTTGAGATGGAGTCTCACTCTGTTGCCCAGGCTCGAGTGCAGTGGCGTCATCTTGGCTCACTGCAACCTCTGCCTCCCGGGTTCAAGCAATTTTCCTGCCTCAGTTTCCTGAGTAGCTGGGACTACAGGCACGTGCCACCACATTCAGCTAATTTTTGTATTTTTTAGTAGAGACAGGGTTTTACCATATTGGCCAGGATGGTCTCAAACTCCTGACCTCGTGATCCACCGCCTCGGCTTCCCAAAGTGCTGGGATTACAGGCGTGAGCCACCATGCCAGGCCTAATATTAACTTCTTGAATGTGATCCAGTCTAACAAACATTTCAATAGTTGCACAGAGAAATGAGTGAAACAAAGACTCTGTAATACATTTTTCATAAAATTAAATTTGCTCAATGTAAGGAATTTACTGTTATTTAAAAATTATGTCCTTTCTGTTGATCTGATGGTTTTTCCCCACCGTATCATTTAGATCAGAAATGATGTCGCTGGGTTCCTCTTATTCTGCCTGAACTGCTGAACATTCCTCTGCTCATCTCCTACATGAATTTCAATTGTCCTTAGGCATTTCATACCTTCCCTCATTTGTGCTAACCAAATTCATAGGGTAAAAATCTGGGTCCAACTATACTGTACAGAACAGACAGGATGGGTTATAATGAGTAAGTTATGATAATGCTTCCGGTTTATAGGCATACTATTCTTCAAGCAGAGGTCAATGGTCTGTGTTAAGTTAAATGGCCTATGCATTTAAAAGATGCAGATTAGGAGTGTAACATATTGTGTAGGATTCAGCCAGCTTTGAAAACATCAAGAAAAGGATATAATGGCATAAAAGGCAACAAATAATACATACTAATTTTCTTTTTTTTTTTTTTTGAGACGGAGTCTGGCTCTGTCGCCCAGGCTGGAGTGCAGTGGCCGGATCTCAGCTCACTGCACGCTCCGCCTCCCAGGTTTACGCCATTCTCCTGCCTCAGCCTCCCGAGTAGCTGGGACTACAGGCACCCGACACCTCGCCCGGCTATTTTTTTTTTTTTGTATTTTTTAGTAGAGACGGGGTTTCACCGTGTTAGCCGGGATGGTCTCGATCTCCTGACCTAGTGATCCGCCCGTCTCGGCCTCCCAAAGTGCTGGGATTACAGGCTTGAGCCACCGCACCCGGCCTATACATACTAATTTTCAAACTATCATCACAGATATGACACAAATATGTCTAACAAATTTAGGATAATATTCCTGGCAAACATCACTTATAATATGAAAGACAGTTACATCTCTGAAACTGATATCTAAGACGTTTATTTTTTAGAAATACTAAACACACACACACACACACACACACAATTTTTTAAAAAAACATGTCTCAGTAGGTGGCCAGTGTCCACACCACTCCAGAGAAGCAGCAGAGGAGTCCAGCATAAAGGCCCTGGATCCAGGGGACAGGAGTAGTGTGGGGAGGGTGGTGGGTGTAATGTATCTGTCTTAGCCCTGCCATGCTGCAGCTGTGAAGAAGTCACTTGAATTCTCTGAATCCTTTTCTCACCTCAGTGAAATGAGAGAGCTGAACTATATCAGTGGTTGCCCAAGTCTGAGAACCTTCTTCCTCCCCAGACCAATTCTCATGTAGAAGTAACATGGAGGCTGGGCATGGTGGCTCACGCCTGTAATCCCATCACTTTGGTAGGCCGAGGCAGGTAGATCACAAGGTCAGGAGTTTGAGACCAGCCTGGGTAACATGGTGAAACCCTGTCTCTACTAAAATACAAAAAAAAAGCCAGGCGTGGTGGTGCATGACTGTAGTCCCAGCTACTCGGGAGGCTGAGGCAGGAGAATTGCTTGAACCCAGGAGGCGGAGATTGCAGTGAGTCGAGATTGTGCCACTGTACTCCAGCCTGGGTGACAGAGCAAGACTCCATCTCCGAAAAAAAAAAAAAGAAGTAACATGGAAAAGAAGTGAAAAATTTTAGTTTTAGATGAAGAAGGGGTTCAGAGGCTCACAGCCCCACCTCTTGGCCCACCCTTGCACCCATCCCAAAGGACACACAGGCTCCGTGGAGCCAGATGATCTGGGTGCCTTCAAGTCGTCAGGCAGATGGAATGAAGTGTCAGGCTTTCTACTCAACAGCTTTTGTCTTTGGACAATTAACCTGAAATTCAGTTTCCCCATTAGCAGAAAGGGAACAAGCACCTGGTGTCAGAGTGAAATAAATATGAATTTCCCCTTCTAGGCTTCTACTCTCCAAAGTTCTTCAAAGCTTCAACATGACCAGTTTGTGTAATTCTTTATATATTTTCTTCTACAGCCAGAGCCATATTGTAGGCCTCAGTCACATCTGTTTCCTCCTTCCTTAAACCCCTAAGTGCCTTAAACGCCAAAGTACACACACTCCCCCACCCCATCACTGTTGCTCCAGTGTTAGCATTTTTACCTCATGCTCCCACTTTGCTCTGTCACTTTTATTCTTTTCAGGATTCTGTAATGACAGAAACCTGAAGCTCCTCACTATCAGATCTTTCCTCAAGAAATAAGAAATGATTCTCTGTTCTAGAGGAACCGAGGAGGATGTGGAAAAGAAAGTCAGACAAGAGGAGGAAGGAGAGGACAGGACTGGCTACCTCCCTTGAGTGAGACCTCCTCCTAGGCCACACCATGGCCTTGTGCAGCACCAAGAGTCCAGGGCTCCCCTAAGCAGGAAAGGCCCCAGCTGCTGCCATGCATCCTCACAACATGGTGGGGCCCAACACAAGCTGCTGTCATGAACATGGAGATTTGGTTAGTAACACTCCAGGGACGCAGCAGGAGTCTTGTTCTCATGTGAGTGTCAAGGGTTAATGATCCACGACAAAATCAGCACCACAGCAGGATAAGGGAAACAAGAACTGGATCAAAGTGACATCTTTCTGATTTTGGCCATGCTGCTGAGATGTGTGTGGGCACATTCCTCTAGCATCCTCTTCTCAATGCTCTTCATCTGTATACATATGTGTGTGTATCTATATGCAAATATGTACAGATACATCTAAATTACTTGGTCAGTCATGGGAAAGAAGATTTTATTTGATATATGAAAAGCTATATACTTACTATCAATATTCGGTAATTTACAAATAATACACAACTTTGACTTACCTTTTAGTTTCACTTTTTGGATCATCACATGGTTTAATGATCTCTGTGACACTGACATTTTCCTGGGGACTATCTTCCAATTCTTTGGTACTGTCTTGATTTAAGTTAGTATCTTCTGGATCAAGCTTTACTCCTTCTCCGGTTCCATTTACATTGAAATTGTCATCATAATTCTAGGTAATAAAACGTATGTGCCATTACAAAATAAATCTACTACTACTAGTTTTTTATGTTATGTTGCCAAATAGTTATATACTTTCGGGAAATAAAAAGGGGAAGCAGGTAAGTTAAGAACATGGATGCTCATTACAGAGATAGTAAATTAGCAGAAATCTGAAAACAATCCAAATGTTCAAAAAGTGAAAGGCTGAATATATGAAGAAAAATTCTGAAGTGCTTAAGTATCATGTTTCCAAAGATATTCAATTATGTGAAAAAATACAACATATTAGCAAAAGCAGAAGAGAGAAAATTGTAATCACAATTTAATTCTTTATTAAGTAATCTCTACAGGTAAAATTGAGGATATTTTTCCATATTTCCAAATGATAAGCAATGGGCAACTATTTTTCTACAGTCACAAACAACGGCAACAACAAACAGGCATTATAGAAGAAAGACACCGGGCAAACCTATCCTAAGTGTACCTGTCTGTTTTCAAGCAACATTTTGGCACATTTGTGCTCGCTCTCTCCACCTCTTCTCTCTCCCAACACACACTTTTTCCCCCAAGCCATCTGAAAGTGAGCTTGCAGGCAGATATGAATCTTTGCCAGGTACATCCTAAGAATCAAAACATTCTCTGGCACAATACTCACGCTCAAGAATCTAATGCTGATATTATCTGTTACACAACCCACATTCAAATTTACCAATTAATCCTTTTCCCCTATTGGGACATACAGGATAGGGGGTGTAATCAGGGATCACATGTTGCATTTAGTTGTCAGGTATCTTTAATGTCCTTTATTTTAGAACAGTTCCCCCACTTTTTTGTTTTGTCTTTCATGGTGTTGACAATTTGATGTTTTGTAGAGTGTCCCATAATTTGGCTTTGTTTGGTTGTTTCCAAATGATCAGATTCAGGTTAAACATTTCTAGCATAATACTATAATCCCAGGAAGCAAAATGCGTTTGTCACATTTTTCAGTGATATTAATAAGTTTGATCATTTGGTTGGGGTGGTATTGCCAGATTTTCCCTTTTTTAATTAATAAATAATCTCTAGAGCATGACGCTGAGACTATGTAAATATCCTGTCCCCATAACCATTTACTGAATATACTTGGCATCTATTGATGATTCTTGCCTGAAACATTTACATACTGGTGGATGTAGAAGAGTGATTTTCTCCCTCTATTACTTCTGTCATTTGCACTTGTACTAATTAATATTCTCCTGTAATAATAAAGCTTTCCTATTTCCTTTCTCCAACTCCCACTCTTTTTTTTTTAGACAGTCTTGCTCTGTTGCCCAGGCTGGAGTGCGGTGGCGGGATCTCAGCTCACTGAAACCTCAGCCTCCAGGGTTCCAACGATTCTCCTGCCTCAGGCTCCACAGCTGGGATTACAGGCGCGTGGCACCATGCCCAGCTAATTTTTGTGTTTTTAGTAGAGATGGGGTTTCACTATGTTAGCCAAGCTGATCTCGAACTCCTGACTTTGTGAACCACCCACCCTTGCCTCCCAAAGTGCTGGGATTACAGGTGTGAGCCACCACGCCTGGCCAACTCTCACTCTTTTAAAAGTCAATATAGATACATAAATTTATTTTTAACAAATGCAATGTATGAAGATCTATTACCTTTATTCCTTTTGATGACTCAAATTTTCCCAAATTGGCAGGCCCCGCAAGCTGGATCTTGAGTATTTCTAATGTATCCCTATCAGTTTTTGAGCTCTTCCTTAGTTTCTAGTATAAGATGCTCTAGGCTCATGTTCCACTTTCCCAGTCTCAGCCCTGAAATCAGCTACTTCTCCAAAGATCAAGCCTGTTTCCTTTTCATGGAAAAGGAAACTTAAAAACCAATACGTGTGCACTAGGTGTGCTCAATGCTAGGGGTGTCACTGCTTCTAGGTCCTCACAATGCACACTGCTCACACACTTACTTTCTTTAAATGATGGGCTCACACCATCTCCACTTCAATCCAACTCCACAGTATTCTTCTTCTCTTTCTCCCTATGTTTGTACTTCCCTCTTCCCACAAAAAGAATATGGTTCCCAGTAACAATTTATTCATTTAATTCCTTTTTTTGGGGGGGGTCAAGGGTCAAATAATTTAATTTTTTTAAGATGTCAATACAACCTACATTGTGAACAAATTCAATTTCTATAAAAATCCCAATAGCACAGGATTTTTTTACAGACCTATTGTTTAAAATTTTTTAATTTGATTATGAACTATAACTAGCCAAGCACTCATGAAAAAGAAGAGGCATTATACTTCCTGATTTCAAAACATATTAAAATCTACAATAATAAAAACAATGTGGTATTGACACAAAGACAGATAAACAGACAACAGAACGGAATAGAGCACAGAAATGAACTCTTCTGTACATGATTAAATGATCTTCCACAAAGTTGCCATGAGCACACAATAGAGAAAAGATAATCACTTCAAAAAAAAATGTTGAAAACTGCATATCTACACTGATAAAGCTGGATCCTCTCCTTGAATCACATACAAAAAATATTTTAAATAAAATACTTACACGTAAGAAATAACTAACAAATCTCTTAGAAAAAATATAGGGGAAAGAAATGACATGGGTCTTGGCATCATTTTCTTAGACACAACATTAAACACAGATCAACAAAGAACAGAAAAATTTAACTACATAATACTTCAAATTTTCTGCATATCAAAAAAAAATTCAATAGTGACAATGCCTCCTATGAAATTGGTGAAAATATTATTCATTTACTTTCAAAAATACCACACCAATACCACCCAAAAAATACCAAATTCAGGACTTACTTTTTTGGCAGTTAATTTTATCTTTCAACTATATCCCATGGAACATATTCAGTCAGAGTACTATGTTTGAGTTACCTGAATTAAATTTTCTTTCCTGTCAGTCAGGGTCATTTGTTTCTATTTACATTCAGTTTTAATTTGGGAGTGTTTTCCTGTACAATCCTTGTTGTTTATGGAATTTTTCTGGCCATACGGAAAACTTTCCCAATCTCAAGTTTCAAGATACTCATTATTTGCTGCCATATGCTCTCAAATCTATCAGTACACGTCTCCACACTGCCCTTCCCTTCAAAAATATCTTAGAAAATATCAGGAAAAGTGCTACATCAAGCTAGGTCTGAACTTGCTACAATCAGGAATCATAAACGAGGAATGCTATTAAAGGAATATAGCTTTTGTGAGAAACAATGGGGTGTTCATTTGAAGCATTTTCACCAGTAAGAAAATACTATGTGTTTATGGTTGCAATCAATAGAATCTATGCTCCATTAATCAAGGTAATACAGGCTCAGGTTAAATATAAATCTCTCTCCATTTATTTTTTCCTTACTGTAGTGGTACTGACATACACAAACGAAAGAGAAAGTGTTCCAAACTAATAATTATAAGGTGTTTGGATGGATGATGGTAGGCGTCAATTTATAAAAAGAACACATATTTGCTATGTGGTTTTATAACTGAAGCAAAAAGTTCCAAATTACAATTTTAAGTGATTAACTCATGTGTTATGTATCATTTTTGGAATAGGAAACTGATTTTAAAAAGACTATCAAATATATTATTATAACCATTTGGATAAATAAGCCAAATCTAAAGTTTTATTAAAAAGCATTAATGCGTTTTATTAAAAATATTTAATACTTAATGTAAGTTAATATAACTAGATTATACTAAAATGGCATAAAACCAAATATCCTTGCTAAAATGGACAAATTCACTTTATTTTTATAGGTGTAACAACATAATATCATTTTATTTAAAAATAGTCCTTAAGATAATGAATTTGGACTTCAGCTGTGAAATATTTAAATTACTTAAAACTTCTGAAAAACAGAAACATTTTTTCAAGACTCATAATCATTACAAGTTTCTAACCAAATGTTCCTTTTGCAATGTTTATGTTGTTGGCAGAAATAAACTTAGATAAAAAAATGACCAATCCCAGATTTTCCTATTTCAAGACTTTAATTGTTATCCTGACTTAAAAGCCCTTTTGTGAGACGTATTCAGATTTTTAATACTGAAAATTCAGCTAATTCATACCAGGGGAATTCCACATGCATACCTGTTAAACACACTGGCAGTCATAATTAAGTTAGTTATTACATACATGCAAGGGAGGAAAGCACTAAAAAAGGAAAATATTTCCAATTCCTTTTAATCAAGCTTACAACCAACATAAAATTATGGAGTATAAGTCTCTCTCCTTAATACAGACGACACTGAATAAATAAGAGCACTGCGACTTTACAGCTGGCATTTAATATTAACAAAACCTTTCTAACATACCTGTGCTGGTTTCTGTTTCTTTTTCTTCTGTTTTTTAGAAAGCCTAAGAGCAAATATAAATCGAAATGTCAAATACTTGACTCTGTGAAGATCAAGTGGAAAAAAAAAAAAGTTGAAACACTAGTGATAAAGTAGTAAAATAGAAGTAAAAGATTAAAAATATTTAATATCATAAAGCATTAAAAGGAAAATAAAGTATTCACATTGTCATTTTAGAGAATAACAAAAGGCTGTAGTTCAATGGATAGTAATTAGCATATCAATTGCCAGGTATAAAAACTGCTTTTAATATAGCGATAATATGTTCTATAAATATTATAGTTGACATTCTGTTTGTATCCACTTCAACACTATAAAGTTCCATGAACTAGAAAATATGGAGACAATATTAGCATAACTGAATAACTTCCTTGGGATAAAACAGACTTTAAGGCCGGGCGCAGTAGCTGACGCCTGTAACCCCAGCACTCTGGGAGGCCGAGGTAGGTGGATCACCTGAGATCAGGAGTTCAAGACCAGCCTGGCCAACATGGTGAAATCCTGTCTCAACTAAAAATACAAAAATTAGCTGGGCATACTGGTGTGTGCCTGTAGTCCCAGCTACTTGGGAGGCTGAGGGAGGAGAATTGCTTGAACCCGGGAGTTGGAGGTTGCACTGAGCTGAGACTGGGCCACTGCACTCCAGCCTGGGCGACAGAGCAATTCTACATCTAAAAAAAAAAAAAAAACAAAAAACAAAATCTTTAAATGCAATCTCTGAATGTGATAAGTATTTCTAGCGACATTTAATATTTAGAAGTACTTTTGTTTTGGTGCATCTTCCATTTCTTCCTCAGAATTGTCATCTAATGGATTTTCATCAATCTGAGGTCTTGAAAAATTTTCTTCCTCCTCCTCCAGCTGTTGTTTTAGCAAGGCCACCATTTCCCGATGCTTCTTTGACTTCTCGTGATTTTTCATGCTGAAAGAGCAATCTGACGTGAGCAGCTGCGCTAAAATTAGTTCAGGTGTCCAGATAATGTTGCTGGATAACTGCAACCAAGATAAAATTTGCTTTTTTCCCACTAAGCAAAAAGTTTATGATTTTATTTTATTTACTTACTTTAAATTTTCTTTTTTTAATTTGTTCATGATTTTATACAGAGAAACAGAACGTGTCAGGATTCCTCCGGTAGTAAGCACACTGGAAGCTCATGGCCATGCTCTTTCTTCTAGTACCACAGCTTTCCCTGTCTTTCTCTGTTCTTTTATCTACATACATTTTCTTCCTTTCTGGGAATGGGGGAATGTTGGCACGGGGAGGTTTGGCCAAATTCTCTACTTATTATTTTGATTTTTCAATTCTTAAAGCTTCCTTCATTGTTTCCTTTTAATTGCTAAGTATTTGCTAAGTGTTTTTACGTTCCAGGCCATCCCACAGACTTGGAGGGATCACTGGGAAATTAGAAAACACACATTCTAATGTTAAAAGGAAGAGGCCCCTGGACTAGAGAAATGGTGGTGGGAGGGCTTGAAATACAAGAGCAGTTTACTGCCTCTTGCTTTTTCACCAGCTGCTTTTCACCTTCTCAGGAGAGGTCTCCTTCCTCACTCTCACCACCGTAATGTAAGTTTAGACACATCTCTACCCCTCTGTTCAAAACCCTGCTGGCAATGTCTGACTTAGCACACCTACAGGCAGCTAACAAGCATTCCACAAAACAGAGTTGACAACATAAGCTACAAGAGTTATATCAACTAAAAAGGAGGAACCTTTGTCAACTATCTACTTCCTCTCATCTGTTTAGGCTTTTGGTATTATAGTTTTAGTTGCTATTTTTCTTTCCCACTAAAATTCTCCCTGAGACCAAGCTGCCCTGGAGATAGATACTGGAAGATCTTGTGTCTGAAAGTAAGTCCTCCAAAAAAGATAGAGGCACATGTCAAAAGGACACAAAAACTGGCTTGAAGGAATGCTCACTAACCAATTCTGGAAAAATTTGAGCAAGAAAAGGTCGGTAATGAATTATACAACACAAAAAAATTCATACATTCAAACTGATAACAGACACATTTTTCATGGATAAAAGGGAAGGCTCCAGTTTACAGCAAAAGGCCAAGTACTAACAGATAAAAACTGGAGGGGGCACTGGCACTGGAAAAGCATCATTTTGCAACCATCATAAAAAAGACTGATGTGGCCGGGCGTGGTGGCTCACGCCTGTAGTCGTAGCACTTTGGGAGGCTGAGGTGGGTAGATCACGAGGTCAGGAGATCAAGACCATCCTGGCTAACATGGTGAAACCCTGTCTCTACTGAAAATACGAAAAATTAGCCGGGCGTGCTGGCGGGCGCCTGTAGTCCCAGCTACTCGGGAGGCTAAGGCAGGAGAATGGCGTGAACCCGGGAGGTGGAGCTTGCAGTGAGCCAAGATCGTGCCACTGCACTCCAGTCCGGGCGACAGAGAGAGACTCCGCTTCCAAAAAAAAATACTGATGCAAGCTAAAACCATCAACAGATGCCAAAGTTACAAGGAAAACTTTTATGAGAAGCACGATATCTGCATAGTTTTAAAGTGTCTCCTCACAGATTAAACATGTTACAAGGGAAAGCTTGTTGCAAGGGAAAAAATACTAACTCTATAGTAAAATTAGTAGTATAGTAGTAAAATTAGATGACACTTTGATTGGGTGATGAAAATTATCATGACAAATGAGGGGCAGAAGGACTTTACATGTCTCCAGCTATGAATCCCTGAGAGCACAACACGCTTGTGCAGCATCCCACCTAGGGCTGCATAACCTGAATCTAATCATGAGGAAATGCACAAACCCAAATGAGAAGAATTCTATGAAAAAAGTATTTTAAAGAAACAGTATACTTCTAAAATGTAAACAGCATAAAAGACAAGACAAGCTATTCCAGATTATGATCTTAGACTGCATTCTGTATTGAAGTGGAGAAAATTCTATATTAATAAACAATTGATTGGCAAAATTGGAATACAGGTAATAAATTAGATAAAAATACCATATCAATGTTAATAATTACTTTTATGTGATCACTGTAGCGTGGTTACATAAGAGAATAACCTTACCCTTTTTTCGTATTTTGAGACAGAGTTTCACTCTTGTTGCCCAGGCTGGAGTGCAATGGCACGATCTTGGCTCACCACAACCTCTGCCTCCCGGGTTCAAGCGATTCTACTGCCTCAGCCTCCTGAGTAGCTGGGATTACAGGCATGTGCCACCATGCCCAGCTAATTTTGTAGTTTTAGTAGAGACGGGGTTTCTCCATATTGATCAGGCTGGTCTCAAACTCTGAACCTCTGGTGATCTGCCCGCCTCAGCCTCCCAAAGTGCTGGGATTACAGGCATGAGCCACTGCGCCCAGCAAGAATAACCTTATTCTTAAGATATAGTGAAGTATTTAGAGTATTCAGAGAACACTATATATGTAAGTTACTTTCAAATTATTCAGAAAAAAACTGTGTGTGTGAATGTGTAGAGAGAAAGAGGACATGCAAATGGTGCAAAATGTTAGTAACAGGTCAATCAGACACACTGTATTCTCTTCTTGCAATTTACCTTTAAGTGTGTCATTATTTCCAAATAAAAAAAAATTTTCAAACCTCCTTCATTGCTGACCTTTTTCTTGCTTGTTTCTAATTTTTCTGCCCCTTTCCCCTTCCCTTACTACTCTGTTATTTCTCCCTGAGGTCATATGGTAATACCATTTATGACTCTCACAGCCCCATTCTCATCCTTTGGCCTCCTTTCTCTCTGACTGCCCATTTTGCTTCTTTTCCCTTGCTGATTCTACTCTCATTTTCTCCCATGTTCTTTCCTCCCTCCTTTATAATAATGGTATCCTTTTTAACACTTCTCTCTTCATCATTGTCCCCCTAAGATAAAGTGCTTCCACTTCAGCAAAGATACTCTGGGCCGGACAAGTTTAAAGTCCCTATATTGGCAGCATCAGCCTGCATGTGACAGTGATGCTGGGTCTGACATCAACAATGGAGGGAGATGATTAGATATGGTCTAGACTTTTTGCCCATGTGACTGTGTCTTCTTTGCCAAAACAAGCAACGTTTCTTTCTGGAGACAGTGCATGTGTTTTAAAAGCAGCTCTTATGTAGGAATACTGGGATGAGTGAGAATCAGTACAACAGGTTTAATAGCAGGGACGAATACCTCTTCCTCCCCTGCTGGAAAGGAATCCCCCAAGACAGTATGTGAGACTAGTTATCAACTGCTGCAAGCACATTCTCTTCAGAACGTTCAAAGTGTTACACTTCAACTCAAAAGAAAACACAAGGGCCAGGTGCTGTGGCGCATGCCTGTAATCCCAACACTTCGGGAGGCCGAGGCGAGTGGATCACCCAAGGCCAGGAGTTTGAGACCAGCCTGACCAACATGGTGAGACCCTGTCTCTACTAAAAATGCAAACATTAGCCAGGCACGATGGCCTGCATCTGTAGTCCCAGCTACTCGGGAGCTTGAGGCAGGAGAATCGCTTGAATTCGGGAGGTGGAGGTTGCAGTGAGCTGAGATCATGCCGGTGTACTCCAGCCTGGGCAAGAGTGAGACTCTGTCTCAAAAAAAAAAAAGAAAACACAAGTTCAAAGATACTAAACTCACTCCTTTTAGCTGGATGCAGTGGCTCACACTTGTAACCCCAGCACTTTGAAAGGCTGAAGCAGGTGGAGTGCTTGAGCCCAGGAGTTCAAGACCAACCTGGACAACAGGGCAAAACCCCATCTCCACAGAAAATATTTAGGTTGGTGCAAAAGTAACTGCAGTTTTTGCTCCTGAAAGTCATGGCAAAAACCACAGTTACTTTTGTACCAGCCTATTAAAAAAATTAGCTGTCTGTGGTGGCAGGTGCCTGTAGCCCTCGACACTCAGGAGGCTGACATGGGAGGATGATCTGAGTCCAAGAGGTCAAGGCTGCGGTGAGTCATGATTGTGCCACTGCACTCCAGCTTTGGTGACAGAGTGAGACCCTGTCTCAAAATAATAAAATAAAATTAAATAAATAAACTTACGCCTTTTCTGTCTTGAACGATTTGTCACATGCTGGGCAGTAGAGGTCATCATAGAGCTCAGCGTCCTCAGCCTCATCACTGTTTTTACCTATAAGAGGGAAGCCTACAGTAAGAAACCTTTCTGATCAGAGCACAAATCTAAAATATGCTGACAAATTTCATCTCTTTGGTAAGGATCTAAACTCGCACATAAATTATAAATTAAATTTTATTTCTTTACCAAAAAAAAAAAAAAAAATGCTATCAGGATTTGAGTTAGCTTTTTAAAAGAAGCACCGTACTATAAGGAAAGGCTTCCAAATAAAGCACCTTACCTTTCAAGTTCTTTTCCTAAGTCTACTTAAAAGAAGATTTAAAACATCCTTAAAGTCTTGGATGTGAGCTAAGTTTAAAAAATTAAATCCCACTTTAATAGATCTACCATGAAGCAGTTTTTTCAACAAAGGTCTTTCCTTAGTTTACCTCTTGAGCAAGGTTTGGTCCAAACACATTTAAAACTGTGACTTACTCTTAAATACTTAATAAATTTAGTTTATAACATTCCATCACTATAAGACAGGCCATAAGTTAACATATTACATGTAAAGTTTCACATTATAAACTTTTACGTTTTTGGCTTTATTACAACTGAGTAATTACTATCAGTATAGTCCACAAAAACTAAGTGACTAAAAAGCTCCACTGAAATTATTTTCACAAACCCATATTCTATTTTTGAAGAAACAAACAGGTAAACTGTCATTTGGGATTTATTACGGGACCAATAAATATCTCAAGGTATCTCTTCCATGTCCATGTTGCTTATTTATAACTGATGTCAGTATGATTCTGAAGGACTATCTCACTGAAATCATAAATGATCAACATATACCCTATCTAGTGTTAATGTTTAATATACGGTGTTAACTTTCCATTATGGTATTGTAGACTTTCAATATATCGTATATGTGAAATTTTAATTAATCAAATACTTAACAATACTGGATTTGAAGCAAAAACTCTGGATCTAAAAATGGTCATACGTTCTCAGGCACATCTCATAGCTTCTCAGAGTCCTAGTTTCCACAACGGCAAAATAGAGACAATTCCATGAGCAAAACCTCCATGTAAGGGGGATTGTGTGAGGATCCAGTGAGATCTTGGATGTGAAAGGACGCTATAAATTGTAAAACTCGATGTAAATTAGGCCATCTCACATTTATAGAATGCTTTTTAATTTTCAAAGTACGTTCACAAGTATTACTTCTGATTCATTAATAAAACACTTCCTAGTCATTTTGAATAAATAAAAGTTTATCATTTTATCATTTGGGCTACTAATCTGAAAAATCACATTTGTAGATAAGGTAAAATTGGGTCAATTTTATAGAGACAGTGGGGAAAATACAGCTATTCTCAAAAATGCCCTATCCTTGCCTTTTAAGGAAGTCAAATACCTGTGCTCTAATGATAGCGGCAAAGAAAACAACATTTTGGCACACGAAGAGGAGCCCCTCTACAAAGTCACAAGGGAGAGGAAGAATTTATACACAACACATAGATTCTCATGCAATATCAGCTTTTCTAGAAATAGTTACTATTAAAACTTGACCTACCACTTAATTTTTTCTTTAATAGTCACACTTGTAAACATGGCCATTTGTCATGTTACACAGCTAGAAGTACACACTGTATAAAAACAACATTACCATCCTCCCCATCTTTGAGTTCATGTTCTTCCATTTCGTTTTCATCCGACCCATCTCCAAACTCCTTCTCGTACCGTGCCTCCATCTCCTGGAGCTCCTTCTCCAAATTCGCCATAGTCATCCAGCTCTGTTCTCTGTACTGCTCCGCCAGTCTGGACACATACAGCACAGTCTCATAGCAACAAGCACGCCTCTGCATGGTTTATACTTACTACTTAGGTTTAAAATCCATTCCCCCTAGAGAGCTTGCTCCCAACCTATCCATGCTTACAAACTTAAAAGCTGTGCTTAGTTAAAACCAAGGCAAAGTCACTTAAACCTGTTACCTGTTACATGGTTGATTTTAATTGCTCCAGCAGTAGATAATAGGTTTTGAAACACGTAACTCAGCAACTTATTAAAAATCTTCAGACAATTTTAAGTCGTGTGGGTAAAGTGTTAATTTTCAAAAGATGAGGGTGGGATGAGTTAGGATTCTTAAGTGAGTAATTTTTAAAAGAATGCTATAATGCTCTGGACAGAATGCTTTTACAGTAACTTTTTAATAACAAAACTTTAGAGGAACTAAAATGAACAGAGTATCTGAGAGTACACTGACCAAAAGGCAGTACTGCACGGTGGCTAAAGCAGGAAAGTGTGGAGTCAGAATTCTCAGGTTCAATTCCTCTACCATTTACTGGCTCTGTGATCTTAGGCCTGTCTGCCTTGTTTCCTTGAAAGAACAAGGAGGATAAGTTACTTCACAGCATTGCTGTGAGGAAGGCACTTAGAACACAGCCTTGCATAGAGGAAGAATAAAATTAACGTTAGTTATTAATTAAAATTATTAAATTTTACAAGAGTCTAAAGGATCTCTCAAATGTAAAGGGTCTCTGAAGGAAAACATGCAATTCAAATAAAAACTTTAGGCCAGGCACTGTAGCTCATGCCTGTAATTCCAGCACTTTGGGAGGCTGAGGCGGGCAGATCACCCGAGGCCAGGAGTAGGAGACCAGCCTGGCCAACCGGGTGAAACCTCGTCACTACTAAAAACACAAAAATTAGCTGGGTGTGGCGGTATATTAAGCCTGTAATCTCAGCTACTTGGTAGGCTGAGACAGCAGAACCCCTTGAACCTGGAGGCAGAGGTTGCAGTGAGCCGAGATCATGCCACTGCACTCTAGACTGGGCAACAGAGCAAGACTCTGTCCCAAAAATAATAATAATAATTTTTATACAGTAGATGAAAAAACACTATCCAATGCCACAATTTTAAAAAGAACAAAAAGCAGGACAAAGCCAGGCTGATGACTGAACCCATCATGAACATGTCAGGTACCTCTGGTGCTGCCTCTGACCCCCACCGATACTGAGAAGAGGGCCCCGCGCACGCTACGCACTTGGCCTGCTTTAGCTTCTGCTGCCGCCTCATCTCTTCGGCTTTCCTTGCCTTCTCTGCATTCTGTTCTTCCACAAGTTTTCGATGAGCCTGCACTCTTTTATCTCTTTTACGAATGAAAGCTACCAGCTGACGGACAAGCTCATTCTTCTCTTTCCTTGCTTTGTCCCGAACCTTTTTGTTTTCTTTTTCCATGGCTCGTTTTTCCCAGCGGTTTGAAGCTTGTCGTGTATCATATTCTTCCTTCCATGCAAAATTCTTTTGAGTGCAGAAACTCTGCCAATAAGCGTAGAAAGGATGGACTACCTAGCGACAAAGAAAACAGATTAACTTCTGGGCTTTTAAATTTTTTTTTAGAAAAGCAGTAAATATTAGTGATGCAAAACATCTTTTAGCTTTCTTTTTTCACATATATAACACTTCTATTAATCACTGGAGAAGACAGTACTTTTAAGGCTTTCTAGAATAAATCACTCTTCAAAATAAACCTAATGAGAAAATAAAAATAGCCTTACTAATCACTGGATGGGACCATGGTGATTAGTCAATAATCAGTAAATAATCAGTAAATTAAAAGGGAAAAGTAGGCATGGTGGCTCACACCTGTAATCCCAGTACTTTGGGAGGCTGAGGTGGGTGATCACCTGAGGTCAGGAGTTTGAAACCAGCCTGGCCAACATGACGAAACCCCGTCTCTACTAAAAATACAAAAATTAGCCGAGCATTGGTGGTGGGAGCCTGTAATCCCAGCTACTTGGGAGGCTGAGGCAGGAGAATCGCTTGAACCTGGGAGGCTGAGGTTGCAGTGAGCTGAGATGGCGCCACTGCACTCCAGCCTGAGCGACAGGAGTGAAATGCCATCTCAAACAAAATAAATAAGTAAATAAAATAAAAATAAAAATAAAAAATAAAAAAGGAAAAGTAGAGGGAAGGTTGCAAGAGATCCAAAAGCTACTTTAGAAAGGAAGAGAGACAAAGAGAGGTCATGGGATAGGTCCGAGAACTAGAACCAATTGTTTTAAAACGAGGAAATGGGAAGCTGGGAGCTGTGGCTCATGACTGTAATCCCAGTCTTTTGGGAGGTCAAGGAGGGAGGCCAGGAGTTCAAGATCGGCCTGGGAAACTTAGCAAGACCCCACCTCTACAAAAAAATTTACAAATTAGCTAGATGTCATGGCGCACATTTGTGTTCCCAGCTACTCAGCAGGCTGAGGCAGGAGGATTAAGCCCAGGAGTTTGAGGCTGTTGTGAGATATGATTATACCACTGCACTGCAGCCTGGATGACAGAGTGAGACCATCCCAAAAAATTAAATTAAATTTAAAAATGGCACAGCGATAAATACTAATTATAGAATACAATGCATTTTTCTTTTACCGTATCATAGTCACTCTGGGAGTCTCCAAAAGTTGGGAAATCATCAACCTCTTCCTCTAACACAGATTCTAGTTCTTCCTTGGCAATCATTTCAAAAACATTACGATACACCGTGTAAAAGCCCTAAAAAACCAGTAACAAAAACAAATTCTTAACACTTTTACAGCCTAATCACAGAATAAGATTTTAAAATACAAAATGAAAAATTTTAATGTTGAAGAATTTTGGGACAAAGTTCAGTCCCTGAAAGTACATTTAGATTTCAACTGGAGGTTTTTATACACTGACGATTTAAACATGAAGGTAATGCAGCTTCAGTTTTCAAAATGAACACTGCTTCACTTTCTATTACAGAATAGTTTTAAGAACTCTCTTTGCATGTGAGTCTTAGTACTTGACAAGAAATTAAGGGTGAGTTCATTTATCTTACCTTTTCATCATCTCCATAACCAGAATAACAGGTAACGGTGAAATAGCGTAGCAAATCTAAGCTGTCATCTTGATATTCGCCATCAAGCCCACCTTTAAGTAGGGCCTCTCTATGATTATCATACCTGAAAAACAAAAATTAGCATCATCAGTGAAGGCTGAATAAGTAAGAATTCAAAAGGATTTCTTGCTCCTTTTGAGTATTATTACTGTACATTTTTGGTTGTGGATATGTCCAATCCATAACCAAAAACTTTTAAGGAAATATTAACATGAAAAGAGTTCATAATCTTTCACAGAACTGTTAATTTTAACTAGGCCTGCAACTTCTGATACATTATACAACGCTAGCCCACATGAACAGGGGAATTTAAAAAGCCAAGGAATTTCCATGACTGTCTCTGAGTTCTGTACTTCCACAGGAAAGAAACACAAAACAGGACATAGGAAATCGGGCCCACAGAATCATTACACATCTGTGATTTGGAAATTTACCAAGATGCACCAGAATAAGACTCTTCCTATATTTATGTCAACTTAATCTAGGAGCTTCACACACATACAATTACTTCTCATAACTCTGTAAAGGCAGTTGTTATCTCCATTTGATATAAGAGGAAATGGAAGTCAGTGATATTACGTAATTTGTCATCCTTGATCATAAAACCAGTAACCAGCAAGGTCAGAATTCAGAAGCAGGTCTCCTACATTGGGAAGACCAGCTCCTAGCCACTACGTGGTACTGCTTCCAGGTAAAAAGACAGTTACTAGGCAAGAGCTTTCAATAAAAAGACAAAGGAATCCCAAGGATCAGAAAACAACCCAAGATCTTGAGAAGAGACTAAGCAAAAGGAAGTCAGGAAAGAATTTCGAAGTTCTGAGAGGAAGGCAAAAGCAATTCCAAGACCAGATCTCCAAATTCCTTGGTAGAGAAATGTTCAGGATCCTCTCTCTGATTTTCTTATAAAACACAATTTTATAAGAATTTTCTTTACAGCCTTTTTTTCTTGACAGCCACCTGTGCTGTACACTGTTTAACAGAAAGATGATTTGCACAGTAGCTCTTTGTAAGAGCAGGATCTTACACAGTTATGTCAAAGCTTACAACCTATTTCCTTGTGGCAAAAAGTTAATTGAGAATCTGAAAACTGAGAACTTCAAACATAGTAATTTTCATCTGGAAATTATTTTAAATGATCAGACCATCATTAGTAATATCTGTCACAGATGCAGAAACTTAATTCAATTTATTCATATAAAGTAGCTTTGAGGATTACCATTCTTGTATTAAAACACTGTATTGGCCGGGCACAGTGGCTCACACCTGTAATCCTAGCACTTGGGAGGTCAAGGCGGGTGGATTGCTTGAGGTCATGAGTTTGAGACCAGCCTGGCCAACATGGTGAAACCCCATCCCCACTAAAGAAACAATACAGGGTGTGATGGCACACACCTGTAGTTCCAGCTACTCAGGAGGCTGAAGCAGGAGAATCGCTTGAACCTGGGAAGTGGAGGTTGCAGTCAGCTGAGATTGCGCCACTGCACTCCAGCCTGGGTGACACAGCAAAACTCCGTCTCAAAAAAAAAAGAAAACATTCTTCCTGTCTGATACCAGTAAATGTGTCATACACCAAAGGGTATTTAATGAGAAGTCACCTAAAGTTATCAAAATTAAAATGATAAAATATCACCAAACTTTCTGTTTCACCCCCTATGAAATCAGATAATTGGAGCAATCATTTCCAAGGTTCCTTCTGACCCAAACATTAGATTTTATGTGATGACTAGGTGACAGATGTTTCAGGACACACCAAAAACCATTTAATGTACTAAATTTGAAAAAAAAGCCACCTATATTGACAATTGCTCCCAATATCATAAACTAGGATGGGAAGGACAGCGTGATGCTCACCATGCTCTTTCCTGAGGGTCACTCAACACGTCATATGCTGCCTGGATTAATTTAAATTGTTCAGCTGCTTCTGCGGCATTATCCAGATTTTTATCTGTTAAAATAAAGTAACAGAAATTTAGTCAATCAAAAACGTAGAGGACAGAATCTAAATAACACCTCTTTCATCAGAAATGCCATAAACAGACGAGAAGTGCACAAAACAAAGACAACTAGATCAAAGCAGAGAGACCCCGTATAACAGTCAATAATCAAGATTTGTTAAAAGTATCAACCTAAGTAGAAATTTCGGGCTTTTCCCTAAGCTTTGGTACATCACTAAACAGTCAACTGGGCCGGCGTGATGGCTCATGCCTACTGTAATCCCAGCACTTTAGGAGGCCAAGGCGGGTGGATTACTTGAGGTCAGGAGTTCGAGACCAGTCTGGTGTTCAACATGATGAAACCCCGTTTCTACTAAAAATACTAAAGATTCGCCCAGCGTGGTGGCGCACGCCTGTAGTCCCAGCTACTCGGGAGGCTGAAGTGGGAGAATCACTTGAACCCAGAAGGCAGAGGTTGCAGTGAGCCTAGATTGCATCACTGTGCTCTAGCACTGGTGTCAGAGCGAGACTCCATCTCTAAAACAGAATAAAATAAAATAAAATAAAGCAAAACAAAACAAAACAAAATAAAAGTAAAATAAGTCAACTGGATATCCACAAACGGAAAATCCTGAGTAGTATAAATTTTACTTTTAAAAGGAGTAAAATAAATAAAATCAGTTCTAGAAAGGCTTATTTTGTGCTAGATTACATTTAGTGCTCACATTTTTTTTTTCTTTCTCATCAATGTATATCAAAAGAAATCTCATACAGTTTTAAAAATATACACTAATTAGTTATTATTTCCTTAGCTGTGCTTCCTGAACCATGGAATTCAGAAAGCGTCCTTGCCTCAGGGTGGTAGCCAGCTTGCAAGACAGCACCCTGCCTCCTGGCAATCATACCTTGTGCAGTCCCTTCTGTGTCAGCAAGGTTAGTCTGTGTGACCATCAGGAGATGGCAGAAGTAATGGTACCTCACTTCCGAGATGAGGTTATAAAGGACTGCAGTTTCTACCTTGGGCTTTCCCTCTCTCTTGATCACTCTGGGAGTGGCCAGCTGCCATAGCATGAGCAACTCAGGCTGCCTATGGAGAAGCTCATGGGATGAAGGAGGTTCCGGCCAACAGCCAGCAGGGCACTGAGGCCTGACACAACCACATGAGTTGGTGGTTGGTGAGCTGGAAGCAGGTCCTTTCAGACAATGAGAGAAAGCCAAAATCATCTAGCCAAGCCGCTCCCAGATTCTGATCTTTAGAAACTGTGGGAGTCCATATAGTGAATATACGCTTGCTGTTTTTGTTGTTTGTTGTCTTAAGCCCTGAGGTACTGGTAATTTGTTACATAGTAATAGACAACTAATACATTCAGAAAGTAAAATATTTTGAATTGACTATGGAGCACACTAAAGTTCTTCTTCTTTTTTTTTTTTTTTTTTTGTTTTTTGAGGTGGGGTCTCGCTCTATCACCAGACTGGAGTGCAGTGAAGCGATCTTGGCTCAGCTCTGCCTCCTGGGTTCAAGCTATTCTCCTGCCTCAACCTCCCAAGTAGCTGGGACACTACAGGTGCGCACATTTAATTTTTGTGTTTTTAGTAGAGACGGGGTTTCACCATGTTGGCCAGGATGGTGTGATCCGCCCACCTCAGCCTCCCAAAGTGCTGGGATTACAGGCATGAGTCACTGCGCCTGGCCGGAGCACACTAAAGTTCTTTAAGCTACAGCTCAATACTACCCTTCCCAAGAAGTTATAAGGAAACATGACAGCAATGTATTATCTACAAATAGTTTTGCAGCCATAGACCACGGCTCTTCAGGGCTTCCTGCTGCCCATTCTCAGTTACCATCATACCGATGCCATAAATTATGATGATATTTAGAGAAGATACTTGCATTCAGTTCCTAACAGGTTTGGTTTCACAGGAGTTAACTGATATTTTAGTCATATTTGCATGCTTCTTCCTTGCACTGATTTCTAATTAATCACCAAATCTGGTCATTTTTCCTTCCCAACATCTCCTCCCCTTGGGCTTTCCCCCTCCCGCTGACCCCAAGCCTGGCCTGGGCCCTTACCCATCTGTCCACTGCGGACTCTCCCTAACTTCTGTCTCCAGCCCTCTTCAATCCACTCAGTTGCCTTCATAGTACCCTCCCATGGCAGCTTAATAAAACCAGCCACAACTCTCCCTTATTTAGCGAAGCAAATTTCACAGTCCTTGGCCTAATATTCAAGATTACAAGAAATACAATCTGATTTCAAACTACTCTTGTATTCAAGAAATACAATCTGATTTAAAATCACTCTTCAGAAAATTATATACGCTTTTGGTCACAGCATTCTCTACTTCATTTACCCTTTCCCACCTAGAAAGTCAAGGAATTGCGAACTTCCTTCTAATTCCTAACTCGATGTCTAACAGTAACAACCCAAACTCTAAGAACACGCTTCTACACTAACCACTAACCCAAACTCTAAGAATATACTTCTATACTATTTTTACATTTATTAATTTTGGTTGTATCTTCTGACTTTCTGCTATGATGAACATCAGTTCATTTACTTCTGCTCTAATATATTTATAATCACATTTTTGTCATGCCTCTGTTGGTAAACCTAACTTTAAGTAACAGACCCACACCTCTCTCTCTCATTCCATCAACCACAGCCATTACCTTTTGACTTTGGATCCCTGGCCTTTCCTTCCACTCCTCTCCTAATCCTTATTTTTCAGACCTGCAATAAACACCATCTTCAGCCAAACTGTCCCCTGGAACATCTTTTGTCCTCCACCATGCTATCCTCCATACTGTTGAGCTCACTTTTCCAAACTGCATTCCTCTAGGATCCAGTCCAAACTCCTCTGAGAAGGGGAAGACTCAATACAAAGTAACTCCCTCCCTGAATTCCTGGAGCATATATTAGTTGTTCTATTAATCTAATCACCAATTATGTATGTTGCGATTTTTTTTAGAGGGCAGTTGTATTTAACTTTTCGTTTGTGTAAAGCAGAAAGTTGTTTTCCTAACAAGACTCTAAGATCCCTGTCTTAGCATTTCCAAATCTACTTAGTAGAGGGCAGTGACTTGCATATATTGGATACTCTGTAACCGTGTTTACTGATTAATGCAAATATGAAAGCCTCTTCATATGAACTTCAAAAAGCTGAGCGTCAACTACTGTCTTAGTTTCCCAGCCTGGAAGATCAGATTACTTCATAAAAGTCACACAGGCCTGGATTATAGTCCAATGACACATCCAGAGGAAGGATACTTCTAAGTAAACATACAAACTTTACTAGGGAAGCCGCCTGATTAAAACTTTTCCTCGGCAGAATCATGTCCAAAGTGAGGTACAGGGTCTGCTTAATCAGCCTATTAAAATAAAAAAAAAGCGAAAAAAGTGCATTCCTATTTAAAAGATATTTTACTAGCTCTCGTCTCTTAACTTCTTAACTAAGAAAGGAAAGGAGCCATACATCAGGTTGAAGTATCTGGGATACCCGGACCAAGTGGTGGGCAGACGAGGAAAAACACCGAGAGGCTGCGCTTCAAGGGACGCAGGGAAGGGCAAGCCTGGGGCAGGTCCGAGTTCCGAGTCCCCGACTGCTCCCTCGTGGTGTCTGCGACCTGGCAGCAGGAACAGGTGAGGTCGCTGGACTTCAGTTTTTCCCCTACAGTGGCGATGCGGGACCGGGGTCGCGGGTATGAGGAGATGGGGTGTGAGCCGGGGGGCGCCTGGGCGGAGCGCTGCGTCCACCGAGGCGGGCGGGGCAGCGCCGGGCACCGGCCGGGCCGGGCAAGAAGCTCCTAGGCCGCCAGGTCGCTCTCTGCTGCCTCCGCGGAGTCCGATCCGGGGAAGGGACAGTCGGGGAGGGCCGGGCTTGTCCGAGGACCCGCGGCGGCTGCGGGTCAGGTACCTACCCGGGTGCCATTTCAGGGCCAGCTTCCGATAGGCCTTCTTCAGCTCCTCCTCGCTGGCGTCGCGCCGCACCCCCAGCGCCTCATAGTGACACTTCATCGCCCGATCGGGCGGGCGGCTGGCGCTGGGGCCCGGGACGGGGTCGGGGCCCGGGCCCGAGCCCGGGCCGAAGCGGCGGCGGCGGCGGCGCTGGCAGTCTTCTCCGGCGGGAGCCCGCCGCCCGCACTGGGCCAGCCAGCGAGCGCGGCGGCGGCGACAGCGGCGGCGGTGAGGGTCAGTGAAGGCGCGCGGTGGCGGCAGACGACGCGGGATGCGGCACGCGGGAGCGCGGAGGGGGCGGTGCCGACGGCCGCCGCTTCGCATGGGCTAGGGGTGGGCTCTGTTCCGGAAAAGGCCGCGAGGGAGGGGGTGGGGCCTCGGCGGGGTGAGAGGCGGGGCCGCGCGGGAGGAAGGCGGGGTCTTGGCGAGAGAGAGGCAGGCCGCGCAGGAGAAAGGCGGGAGCTTGGCGGAGAAAGAGGCGGGCCGCGTGGGAGGAAGGCAGGCCTTGGCGGGGAAGAGCAGGAGGAAGGCGGGGCCTTGGGGTGAGAGGCGGGGCCTCTGCGGGGTGAGAGGCGGGGCCGCGCAGGAGGGAGGCAGGGCCACGCTGGTGTCATTGTGAGGGACACAAATGGCGGTCAGTGTGAGTGGCTGCCGACCTGAGGGCTGAAGGGGGAGACAGGAGATGGGATGGGAGAGGATTCTGGAAAATACCTGATTGGAATTTATCAATGGAGCCCCGTTTTTATAGATGAGGCGATTCAGACTCCAAGTGGTCAAGTGGTTGACTCAAGCCTTCTCAGCTAATACAATAGCAGAATTCGGTTGGACAGAATACCAGGTTTTTTATCTCAATTTTTAATTCCCTTCAGCTGCCACTTAAGATCTCTGGTATTGATCATCTTGACCAATATGCATAAGAAAGGACAGTAAGATTATTTAAGCTGAAACAATTTAAAAGGGAAGCATCGACACACTTAAAAATAATGAAAAGCCTTACCACCACCATGGATGAAATTGTGCTGATCTATCCATCCATCACTCTTTAATCCTAACTTTCTGGCCTCTAATCCTACCTTTCCAAGATCGGTTTAGGTTAAGAAAGCAGTTAAAGGATAGTATTTAACCAGTAGGTTTTGGTTGATCTGACTAGCTGTATTACATTGTATTACAAGATAGAAGATCTGCACAACTATTCCAAACACTTTGATAAGGTATCAAAATAATACCATAATTGTTATTAAAAATGCATTAATACGCCAATATATTTCACTCTAATGTGGAAAGTTTACATGCATCAGTTAGGTGTGGGTTGTATTTACCAACCATGTATGGTTAGCTATGTTGCTAATATCTATTGCACAGGGTTGGGTTACCCAAGTGGTTTAGGAAGGTTATCCTTCTCTTCCGCAATATGCTGCCCCCGGTAAAATAAAAGAAACCAACGCTAAGCTTCATCAGGTTACTTCCACACACCACTGACCAACCAACTCACTACTCAGAATTCATACACTTTCCTTTTTTCCAGAGGAAGATTCTACACAGTCTCAGTTAGTTGGTAAATTGGTAATGGATAAGGATTGAGAAGTCTGAGTTTGGGGGAATATGAAACCTTTCCCCTCCTGAGAACAGAATTGAGATGGTGGGCAGTGGGGATGCGGGGGGCGGGTGACAAAAAAGGACAAGGAAAGTTTTCCTCCAACTTAATTTGGAGTATTTTCTCCCTCCAACTTAATTTGGTTTTGGATACAGCCTCTAGGAATCACTCACTTCTTTTACCTTCTGAAGAAAGAGGGATTTTTGCCTCTAACATTGTATAAAGGTAACTATGCTGGATATAAACTTCAGTCTAAAGGAACATCTTGACCGGGCATGGTGGCTCCTGCCTGTAATCCTAGCACTTTGGGAATTTGAGGCGGGAGGATCCCTTCAGCCCAAGAGTTCAAGACCAGCCTGGGAAACATAGTGAGAATTTGCCTCTACAGAAAAAAAAAAAAGAACTAGCCAGGCGTGGTGGTTGCCTCTACAAAAAAAAAAAAAAAAAAAAAAGAAAACTAGCCAGGCATGGTGGTGTGGGCCTGTAGTCCTACCTACTCAGGAGGCTGAGGTAGGAATAGTTGAGCCCAGGAGTTACAGCCTGCAGTGAGCTATGACCACACTACCGCACCACAGCCCTGGGTGACAGAGCAAGACCCTGCTGCTAATAAAGGAACATCTTTTATTAAATAGGTACCCTTTAAATGACCACAGACTTAGAGATGTTCCATTCCAGAAGAATTCTCAAATAAGATATCCATATAATTGTGAAAGGGAATTGGAGATGTAAGGATACCTCTATATGGAAACTGTTAACTGAAAATTGTGAAACCGGAAATTACACCAAAACTGCACAATGCACACATCAAAAGTACAAGTTTGTATCTCTACTCACACTTCCAACTTGTTGATGTACTTTATAACCTATAATTAACTTGTTCCTGAGATGTGGATGTTTAAAAACAAATTCTGAATACAGCTGTCTTATTTTTATCCAAGACTATATTCAACTGCCTAAATAAAATAATGGCTACTTTATTTTTTTTTCCATTTAACCAGACTTGGCCCTAGTCACATACAAGTATTTCAAGTGAACCTCTGACCTGAATTACCTGCATAATTTAGATGACTTTAAGATTTCAAGTTTCCTAATTTCTACTATTTCAAGATAAGTAGCCAATTAAACACTCAGGAAGGCCGTTCCTTAACAAAAAATTTAAGGGAAAAAAACCATGAATATTGATCATTCTGCCTAAAGACTTAAAATAATACAGACATAAAATTAAAATATAAGTGAACTAGGAAAGATATCTACAATAAACTTACTATATAAAAGTGCTTACAAAATCAATAAAAGACAGTCCTACTACAGAAAAACATTAGTCCAGTCAAAAAGGATAAACCTGTAACTAATAAAAAAAAAAAGTGTTGTTTTTTTTTTTTAACCTATTAAATTGACAGATTCTTTCATGCATAGTGAAACTGGTAAGGGGACAAGGAAATGAACCCTCTAACCTCTAGTGAGGTTATGGTGGTAGAGGGAGCAAGCAAAAAGCTTAGAGTTCATAATCTTTAACCTAAGTTGCACTTCTAGGAAACCAAAAGTGTTGTGTAAAAAGACATATGTAACATATATAGATTCACTACAAGCATTGATACCAGCAAGAAAAAAAAAGAGGAAAAACTGTAAATACTGATTACATAGCTATGGTACACAGAATACTATGCAGTTAGCAAGTCAACACGTAGAACACACACATAGAAAAACAGTGTGCAGTCAAAAAAGCAGGTGATGAAACAGCATGTGTAATTTCATTAGATATATGTGTTATATATTGTATTTCCATCTGTCTATGTCAGCAGCCACCTACCTCCATGGTCACTGGTACTCAGAATCTTTTCTTTCCCTGTTACTAATTTACCCATATTAAGCCCAGTGCCCCCTTACACAATAAGCAGTTTCTCTTTCATGTGAGAAAAAATTCAAATGTTCTGGTATCCCCTCTAACAACTGTCCTATTTTTTTCTTCTTTTACTATTAGTTTTCTAAATAAGTAATCTACACACACTGCTTCTAAAATAAATATGTAATTTGGCCGGGCTCAGTGGCTCATGCCTGATGCCTGTAATCCCAGCACTTTGGGGGCTGAAGCGGGCAGATCACCTGAGGTCAGGAGTTCGAGACCAGCCTGACCAACATGGAGAAACCCCAACTCTACTAAAAATAACAAATTAGCCAGGCGTGGTGGCACATGCCTGTAATCCCAACTACTTGCGAGGCTGAGGCAGGAGAATCGCTTGAACCACCCAGGTGGAGGTCACGGTGAGCAGAGATCGCGCCATTGCACTCTAGTCTGGGCAACAAAAGCAAAACTCCACCTCAGAAATAAAATAAAATAAAAAATTCACAAAGTGCTTTCGACACAGCCATTAACGCATTTGATTCTCAAAATCTAAACATTTTAATGTCCTTTTCTGAAGTGACAGATCAGAGGTTGGTTCTTCAATGGCTTCATTAGCTGGTGACTCAGAGTAAAGTAAACTTCAGTGAGATGCTTTCCTTTCTACCAGTCTACTCCTACTTTACCATCCACAATCGATGCTCTTGAAGTGTTGAATGCTTTTACAAATAATAGGACCTAATAAATGTCTGAATTTCAGCTTTGCTAAACCAAAAATTCCAACCCAAGAGAACAGGCTACATTAAGTGTGCTATATTTTTAGCAATATAAACTTCAAAAAGAAATCAGAAATTAACTTATGAATTCTGGTGATATTTTATTTAGAAAAAGATAATCACTGATTTTAAGATCTTAATTTTTCTTTCTTCTAAATGCTACACTAATTAGACATAAGATAGTATCAGATAATAAAAGTATTTACACACTGAATACAAAATAAATATAAAGTAACTGAAAAACAAATCAGGTTTCCATTGACTTATTTTTTTTTCCCACTGTCCATCCTCTGTTTCATTTTTCTTTGCCTTTTGTAAATCCGTTTCTTTCTTGCTTTCAAATCAACTTTTGGCTCTGGTTTTACCCACTGTATTTCTATTGGTTTCTCCTCAGCTGGCATTACAAAAACATCTGCAGTGGGATCATGTGGAAGAAGAGTCTTCGGCTCTTTCTTTCTCAGTTTTTGCACATCTTTCACTTGCTGTTTCTCTCTGTATTTTGCAGCTGTGATGGATCTTATGACACGCCGATGCTAAAATTTACAAAAAAAAAAAAAGGTTAGATGCTTTTGAAATAAAAATAAACATTTTATATAAGGCAAAAACTTTCAGTTATGAACCTTATATCCCTTCAGCCAGTGTCATGAAAAAAAGGAGTAATTTCCAAGTCTCTATGCAGCAAAAACCAAATTCAGTTTCACAGGTAATAAAACAGCAATTACTTCACAGAATCATTTTGGCCAAAGGGTTCCGGTACATTGGAGACTACTGAACAAAACAACAGCTTACCATGTTTGGTGACTGGTAGTGAGGATTTTCATATAAAGTTGGTCCTCCAAAACTTCCCTGGAAAATCTTTATGAGATTTAAGACAAAACGAGGTCCTATTTCTACAAGAGCAGCATCTTCTTCTATGATCTTTAATAAAAAGGAAACATTTCGTTTTGGTTTGGTTACATTATTCCAAAAAGGTATACTGACTATAACCTCATTATAAATGTGCCTGAAATAATTGATAATCCATAAAATCAAGGTGGGGGTGAAACTTGGTAAATGCCAAATCATCAGTATTTTCTGAAATCTATTAGTACTTATAGGAAGTCATCATGGAAAAATGTTTTTTCAGTGTGTACTTTTCAAATTGAGTAATTCGATTTTGGTTTACATCTTGCTTCTCACAATGTATATATCCTTGAAAAACTGTGGTTAAATAGGATTTTAAAATAGTAACCACTATTAACAAAATGTATTAAAGCATATTATGGGGGAACTGTTGAAATGTAAACCAATCCCTAAATTGTTTATAAATCTAATTCAAGATAGATTAAAAGGATATGTAGCCAAATTTATTTCATAGCTACTGATTATGGAATTAAAAGGTGACTTCTGAACAACAAATACTTATGTTATCTATTAGTTCAGGCATGTCTGCCCTCAGAGGTTAGGAGGATGTGTTCAACTCACATGCCAGGTATCCAATATAAAATATGCAGAAAAGAGCTCAGTTTATGTCATGTGCTGTCTAAAATTTTGTTCTTGTTCTCTTCCACCTCTTCATCTTTCTGCACTTATCCTGCCAAACTCCTGCTTCAAGATTTCTAGAATCACCTCTTCTTTTCTCCTGAATGAGTCACTGTATGACTCATCATCTAACAGTTGCCACTGAATGCCTTCTATAGCAATTACATTTTGCTAGGTCTTAACCCTTGAGGTGGTTTTAAAGCTTTTAGAGAGAAACTTATATTTTACTGTATCCTTTACAGCACCTTCCACAAATTAGGAACCCAAGTATCTCATGGATTTTCAAGCTATTCCTTTTCTATAAAGTGAAATATATAATGGCTTATTAGGAAATCCATACTCTGTATCAACTAACAGTCATGAATAGAAGTAGGCAGAGATCACTTAAAGTATAAGACACTACATAGTTACTTGCAGCAATCTCTTTAGGGAAAAGGAAGCTATTTAAAACAAAAGGATTGTTTGCATTTTTTGTGTATGCAGACCCTGTATATCCTTATCTAAAAGTTTAATTAAAAATTGGTCATGTACAGTGGCTCACACCTGTAATCCCACCTACTCAAGATGCTGAGGAGGGATGATCATTTGAGGCCAGGAGGTTCAAGATCAACCTAGGCAACACTGCGACACTCTATCTCTAATAAAAAAAAAATTAGGCCGGGCGCAGTGGCTCACGCCTGGAATCCCAGACTTTGGGAGGCCAAGGTGGGAGGATCACCTGAGGTTAGGAGTTTGAGACCAGCCTGGTCAACATGGTAAAACCCCATCTCTACTAAAACTAAAAAAATTAGCCAGGCGTGATTACGGGTGCCTGTAATCCCAGTTACTCAGGAAGCTGAGGCAAGAGAAGCTTGAACCCGGGTGGTGGGGGTTGCAGTGAGCCGAGATTGTGCCACTGCACTCCAGCCTGGGCAACAAGAGCGAGACTCTGTCTCAATAAATAAATAAATAAATAAATAAATAAATAAATTTAATTCCGTTAAAAAGAAGGTATAATTTAAAAAATCAAGTAAAGCTTACCTGAAAGTTCCGAAACCATATCCTATTATCCAAAATGGTGAAAGTAAACACATGGTCCACGAATGGTTGGCTTTTGGGATGATACCGTGGTGTACTAAAGATCTAGTTTAAAAAGTGTATGTTAGTTCCTTATTCCAAGACATATCATGTATATTTTGGATAGCTAAAAGATATTTACCTGAATTAAGAGTTCTTTTAACAAAGCATAATGTGGTAATTCATCAAAAGCCTACAAAAATAAAGGAAGCATATTATTTAACAGTAGATTGCCTTGTTTAAAACTGTTTGCTCATTTGTTTCTATAACCTCATTATAAATGTGCCTGAAATAATTGATAATCCATAAAATCAAGGTGAGGGTGAAACTAAATTGAATTACACAACTATATCTACTAAAAACAACCACGCCAGATAAGAAAATTAGACCTCATACACTGAATGAGAAACTTACAGGGTCAAAAGACAAAAGGGGCCGAGAACCTTTCAAACAGTTTCCAGTCATCTTTAGTTCAGCAAGGGTATGAACTAGAAAAATTGCAACGAAAACAAAAATAGTTACAACTTTTGCACAACTATTTCAAAAGATTATTTTTAATTTCCTCATCTAAAAAATTTTATTGAGTCAACTTACTATTTTGAACAAGGAATTTAGCAGACGGTCCATGAGGTGAATTTGAAAGCCTGAAAGATATAGAGGAAGCTTTTTCAACTGATCAGCGAATGCAGTCAATGCTTACCACCTATTCACCATAAATAATATGCTTATATTCATATATTTAATTTTCTTTAAAGGTATCAAGTTTTGTGAAATCAAAAAAGTTTTATTCATTCTCAACCTCTTACCATGAAAGACTAGGAGTCTATAACATAAAAGGTACAAAGAACAAATCCACTTAAATAAAGGAGTTTAACCAATATCTTAATACATTCTCTTACCACATATAGAGATCTTGTTTTTTCTTAGCTTCAAAATAGATGCATTTATTACAGTTCTTCATTTCACAAACCTAAAGGAAGCAAAGTATAGGAAAATGAAGTAGATAAAAGTGAAAACTAAAGTAATTATATGTGATTAATATCATTTAGATTATCTCAAAAATACCTAACCAGGCTAATAGGCTACAAAGACCGAAACATTTATTCACAGAAGGAACCTTTAAGTTCCTTCTAGGTATTCTACACAAGGTAAACTAGATGCTCTGCCCGTATCTTGGATGAAATTATCTATCATATTTTTGGGCCTAGCATCTAAAATGGTCTCACTTCTGATTACTGGAAACCTCCCCCCTCCTTTTTTTTTTTTTTTTTTTGAGATGGAGTTTCGCTCTTGTTGCCCAGGCTGGAGTGCAATGGCACGATCTTGGCTTACCGCAACCTCCACCTCTCAGGTTCAAATGATTCTCCTGCTTCAGCCTCCAGAGTAGCTGGGATTACAGGCATGCGCCATCACGCCCTGCTAATTTTGTATTTTTAGTAGAGATGGGGTTTCTCCATGTTGGTCAGGCTGGGCTTGAACTCCTGACCTCGGGTGATCTGCCTGCCTTGGCCTCCCAAAGTGCTGGGATTACAGGCGTGAGCCACAACGCCTGGCCAGGAACCTCTTCTGCCCATAGTCCCATGTACAAACTACAAAGACTAAAAATAGATAAGGAATACCACAACTAATCTTATGTTGATCCTTCATAATCAATCTTCTTAGCCAATCTTACGAAAATCCAGTCCTTACAGAACTAAAAACATCCTTTTTAATGATTATTTTGGTTTTTAACTTTTTAGCTTTTTGATATTAAGATTACAAAACTTAAGTTGTTCTTCATTTATACTATCATTTCTGGTGATTTGGTTCTATAAAGTCATTAAGGGATTGGGTAAAAAGCCTAAGTATATAAAACCTATTTCAAATTAAACTTCAATGTCTTCAAGGCTTACAAAAGTCACACTTGAGAAGATATAAAAACATTACAGGAGTGAAGTCTTATATTACTGTAGTATTCATAAACCCTAATTAATATAGTACTCATAAACTCCAAACTATTTAAGACTTTAAACCTAACAACTTATGGGTGGATGAGGTTCATGCCTGTAACCCCAGCACTTTGGGAGGCCGAGGTGGGTGAATTGCCTGAGCAACCCGGCAAAGCCCCATCACTACTAAAAATACAAAAAAATTAGCTGGGCATAGTGGCGTGTGCCTGTAGTCCCAGCTACTTGGGAGGCTGACGCAGGAGAACTGCTTAAACCCAGGAAGCAGAGGCTGCAGTGAGTTGAGATCATGCCACTTCACTCCAGCCTGGGTAAGAGTGAGACTTTGTCTCCAAAACCAGTTAAACAAATAAATAAACCCTGACAACTTAAAAAAAAAAAACTTAGGTCCAATGCTTTTGTTTCTTATTGGTCTTAGAATAAACACAAAAATGGGAAGCTTGGGCCACTTCTGGGCCTTTGTAGTTGCCATTTTCTCTTCCTAGATGGTCTTTTACCATATTTCTCCTTCATTAAATCTCTGCTCAAATATTAAGTTAAACATCATCCCTTTGAACAGGTTTTTCCGGTCTAGTCTCAGCTGCTGAAAACCTATAACCTGCTTCATTTCTCCTATCTTTACTTGAAATTATAAACCTTGTTTATGGCCTGTCTCCATTAGAATGTAAGTTCCATAATGACAGGGACATTGCTCTGTTAAACAGTTTCTGCAACACATAGAATGATGTGGTATTATAGCAGAGGTTCAAAAATTTGTGCTCTCAAGAAGGCTAATAGGAAAAAAATGATCCTAATTCTTCTAAGTTTTGAAAATTTTGCTTTAAAATGTAAATTCATGTTCTGTGCTTCCAGAGGTTAAAAAAATATACATAAGTGTAGTATACTTTGAAAATGTAACCTATTCCTAGTTTGTAATACCTTAAGAGCAGTTCCACACAAATCACTTTTAATACTGGCAAAACACTTTTTATCATGTGGGGTTTCTACATATATAGATATGTTTAATGGACTTCTTATTTTACTTTATATATGCTGACTGATCATTTTTTGAGTACCTACTATGGATTTAGCATAATACTAGACACTACGGGGTTAAAAAATGAGACATAATCCTTCTCCTGAGATTTCAATATGCTTGTTCAGACAAAACAAACAGACATGACTGAAGCACTAAACTGTAGGAGAAAAATCTGGAAGAGCAGTTATTGAAGAGTTAATAAAACGTGTCTGAATAGTTTTTACAAAACAATTTTTAAAGTCACTGAATGACTTATTTTTGAAATGAGCCACTGTTAATGTTTTTAAAATATTTTATTGCAATTACTTTCTAAAATTACCTCGTTAATCACAAATAGCTTATCCTTACGATCCATTTTAGTATCTAGAAAAAGAAAAAAAAGACAAAGCAAGTAAATTAAAGGTGATTTCAAAGTTATTTCAATCAAACCACATATGCTATCTAAAAAATAAGTGTTTTTACACTCTTCAGTTTAAAGGAGATTTTATTATTAATTTTCAAAACAAGACCTGAAAACAATCGCTTAAAAAATCTTGACTCTTTGTAAATGTAAAGAAAATAAAATAGAGTCTGTAAGAATTAGAAATTATAGTGTAAGCAGTGTTTCTCAGTATTTAGGTATTTTAGGAATCCTTTTCAAAAATGGGAAAATTCTCACAAACCAAAGACTATGTTAAAGGAAACCAGTTTCAATGAAGATATCTTTCACTTGTTAATCACAGATGTCAAAGAAAACTGACTTTATGCCTGTGAAACAAATCTGCACATATACTCCTTGAATCTAAAAAAAAGTTAAAATTTTTAAAATAAAAAAAACCAAAAAAACCCCAAAACACCTCTCAACATAAGCAAAAATATGATGCGTTGCCACTCCACTGTTCTAAACAATGTTTTTTTTTTTTTTTTTGAGACAGGGTCTTGCTCCTTGCCCAGGCTGAAGTGTAGTGGCACAATCATGGCTCATGGCAGCCTTGACCTCCTGGGCTCAAGCCATCCTCCTGCTTGAGACTCCTGTGTAGCTGGGACTGCAGGCAAGTGGTCCCACACCTGGCTAATTTACTTTACTTTTTTCGACTCCAACTTAAAAGATGCTTCAAATTCTATCCCAGGTACATTTTTCAACAAAAACAGTTTAAAAAAAAAAAAAAAAGCCCAAAAAGCAACACATGGCAGTCCTTGGCACTTAGGACAAACCATCCCACTTATCTCAGGACCTTTAGAAACATTCCAGTGAAGGCATTCCTGGACTTTCAAGAAATGTTTCAATAATATTAGGACATCTGTTTTAAAAAGTAAAGAAACTACCTAATGAAGTCTAAAGAATTTCTTACAAAATGTTAACTAGAAAAATTGTGGCACTTGAAAAGATAAAAGGTATTGTGTTTTTTTCGTGAAAACACTGAACAAATGAAGAATATATAAAATAAGTGAAAACATAAAAATAGCTAAGTTTATAGACAGAAATTTCTAAAGTATATGATACAAAGGCACCTGCTTTAGAATGAGGCATCAACATTCTCAAGTCCTGCATTAAATGTCTTGTCCTGAAATTTATTCCTCTGGAAGAAAAGATGAGAATCCGTTCCTTATTTTTCCACTTGCCCTAAAGAAAAAGAAAATGTTAAAAAGATTTTAAAATCTCATACTGAACTGACCTTGTTTTGTGACAGGGTCTCACACTGTTGTCCAGACTGAAGTGCAGTGATGCATGCTCACAGCTCACTGCAGTTTCAAGTTCCTGGGCTCAAGTGATCCTCCCACCTCAGCATCTGCAGTAGCTGGATACTACAGATATGTGCCACCATGCCCAGTTAGTATTTTTTTTCTTTTGTAGAGACAGGAGTCTCCCTATGTTGCCCAGGCTGGTCTCCAACACCTGGGCTCAAGCGGCTTGGCCTCCCAAAGTGCTGGGATTATAGGTGAGAACCACTGCACCTGGCCCTGTTTGTTTTTTAAGAGCTTCCAGGTAGCAAGTCAAACCATCCTGACTCCTTTAATTTCATCTCTCACCAACATTCACTGACCACATCTGCCACCCAGAAATGCCCTCCTTGGTTTCTTGTTTTTCATCTTCAATCTCTCCAATTCCTCCTCCCAACCCTGAAAGTTCTTTCTTAGCCCTCTTTTATTTCTGTGCTCTCCATGCAGAGGTCTCATAATAATTTCTCACAATTCTTAATCCTTTCTTATTCACACTGCACTTAGAGTCTTATATTAACTGCAAAACTCCTAAATGGCTAACTTTCTCAGACATGAAGAACACCTCCAACGGATATGGTTGACTAGCTCTTTCAAGTTTACTCTTTTTTTTTTTTTTTTGAGATGGAGTCTCACTCTGTCACCCAGGCTGGAGGGCAGTGGCGCAATCTCCACCTCCCGGGTTCAAACGACTCTCCTGCCTCAGCCTCCTGAGTAGCTGGGGTTATGGGTGCCCACCACTGCACCTGGCTGATTTTTTTTTTGTAGTTTTAGTAGAGACAGGGTTTCACCATCTAGGCCAGGCTGGTCTTGAACTCCTGACCTAGTGATCCATCCTCCTTGGCCTCCCAAAATGCTGGGATTACAGGCGTGAGCCACCGCGCCCGGCCATTTTTAAAGTAATACTTCAGTCACATCCTTACTTCCCAGAGTTTTCTAAACAAAGTTCAAACGACATAGCTTCGACACTGAATTGTAAAATACATTTTCATTTTTACATCATTATTGCCCCAAATGAAGCCTAATGCAATCCAATCTGGCTCTATTTTTTACATTTTTCAGCATTTCCCTACTTCAAAGTCTTTTGAATGTCAAAATTCTACACTTCTTCTGATATGCAGCTTAAAGACTAAATCCTTCATGATTCTTTATCTTATTATACTAGGGTAAACGTAATCTCCATCTCTTGCATTTCCATAGAATGTATCAAAGTATGGCTCAGATTATGGATACTATCTAGCTCCTTAAGGGAAGAGTGAGAACACTAACATTTATTGGAAGTGTACAAGCCCAGCTTATTTTTCATAAAAAGTAAATATTCTCTCCCCCCTCCCCGGCCCCAATCTGCAGGTCAGAAAAGAGCGCAGAAAAGAGCGGGGCTAGAATTTACACTTATCTTTTATTCCTCAGAGCTCACACTCCTTTCCTAGAGCTTGCCATCACACCACACGGGGTCATTGACTTAACACCTACTGCGTGCTAGACTACTCTGCTAAGTGCGGAGGACGCAGAAATTAATGTCAAAGATAATCCTTGCCTTCACAGTATTCTGTCTAGCTTAAGATGAGTTCTCTGTTGAAGGAAATCTAGCTAATTCCAACTAACGTGCACTTCTTTTGAATAAAAACCATCAACTTATTTGAATTCTTAAGTTTCCTCCTAAACTCCAACATTTCAGGAGGAAGGGGTCACATGCTAGTCACCTTTGCAATCTCAAACCCAAAGGATGCCTAACTTGGTCAAATGCATGGCACATTCAATGTCTGTTGAATACAAGTAAAGCTCATAGTACCTAGCCTATTTTTCATTATCCCTTGAGTTGAAAACTGGTTAACAAATCAGAGTCACAGTCCTAAGGGCAACAACTTTTTAAAGGCTCACCTAACAAACTGTAGGATCCCTGACTGAGAGTGGCTGACTATGGCAGTATATGGGCATACTAATCACTGGAAGAAATACTCAACAGCGAGAAATAGCCAAGGAAAAGCCCTACTTTTCAAAAATATTTAAAAAACAAAACAAAACAAAACAACTCAACAACTACGAAGACAAAACGCTAGATCTGAGCACCCTGTAAGTCGCTTTCCCGTGGGCCGGGTAAAGATTTTAAAACCCGCCGCCTCCAGGAGGGCGGACACGTGCACAAGGATTAGCTGAAAACTCGGTGCCCAGTCTGGCTGGGAGGATTGCTAAAATCGACCTACCGTTAACACTCTGGCTACTCTGAAATTAGCAGAGCTGTAGTCAAGTAAGTAACCCAAGAAAAGGCGCACAGAGCCGCCGCCGCCGGTGTAGCCCGGGGGCATCCCCTTCTACCTTGCAAACGGGGCCTGGGATCCGGTCCCTCTCTTCTTCCTCCACCTCCTCTGCGGTGGTGTGCCGCTTAGTTGGCGGCGCGGCATCTTTTTCGTTTCTTTTTGGCTTCTTCGCCTGCACTGCCAAGCCTCCACGCCGTTTCCTCTTGGTTGCCGCCATCTTGCCTTACTGCCTGCGCTCTTGGCCTGTTTTCCGGCGTTGCCTCTCGCTCCTCTTTCCGATCTCTATGGTTCGGTGGCTCTAAGCGCTCAGCTACGCGGTTGTCCTCCAGGTCTGCGGTGTCTCCTTCCGGTCTCAGTGGCGCTGCACGCGTGGCTCTCTAGGCCTCCTTCAGCTCTGTGGTGACGGTGGCGGAAGTGGAGGGCAGGTCTGAAGAGTGGCGGGACCGGCTCCACTTCCTACGCGATTTCTCAGAGCTGTCTAGCTCCTCCTCAGGGACTTTCCTGGGAAGGTCTCTCGGGCGTCCAGACCCCACCGCAAAGGTAGGGTGTCCGCACTCGGGGACCCCGAGACTAATAAGCGATGCTGTCCCGCGGGCGGGCTGGTGAATGGGCTTGTGTGGGACTCTTGGGGGATCTTCTGGACACTCTGGGCGCTCCCCTCCATCGCCTGTTCTGTTGGAAGCGAGGCTGGTGCCGCGGTCGGATTCATAGCTCCTGTTTGTTTGGCCGGGAGAAGCTGGCCCCAAGCGGAGATACCGTGTCAGTTGCGTGTCTTCATTCTTCACAACTTTTCACGTTATTGTCCTCTTACAGAGACGAGGAAATAGTAACTTAATTTTCCCGCAAAATTACAAAGACAATTAAGTGACATAGGTGGGGTTCGGCCTGGTCAGCTGAGTTCAGCCGCCCAGCCCCCGTCCACCTCTCAGCGCAGGTGGAGCTCGCCAGACCTCGCCTGCACTGATGTGAGTTTTATTGCCCAGTCCCTTCAGGTGTTTCGCGATTCGCCGAGCAGGTGTTGGCCCCAGGAGCATTTCCCTCCGGGCCGAATGCGCAGTGGACTATGCCCCTTCTGACCCAGCAGATCCAAGATGAGGATGATCAGTACAGCCTTGTGGCCAGCCTTGACAACGTTAGGAATCTCTCCACTATTTTGAAAGCTATTCATTTCCGAGAGCATGCCACGTGTTTCGCAACTAAAAATGGTATCAAAGTAACAGTGGAAAATGCAAAGTGTGTGCAAGCAAATGCTTTTATTCAGGTATGGAAGTAGGCGCCTTTAAGCCTGTGCCATAGATATTCTAAATGCAATTCAATGAAATCCGAAGGTTTTAGTAGACATAATAAATAACTTAATACTCATAATAACTTAATAGTCAATAGTCATAATAAATAATAGATAAATAACTTAATAGTCTTACGTTAGAGAACAAACGTCATTACTTGAATTTTTTTTTTCTCTCCCGGTAACAAATTCTTTTCCCATCTTGTTTTACAGAGATAATGGTTAGTAATGACTAAAGTTTATTAAACTAGACTATCGGCTAGGCTACAGTCTTCTTAGTGTTTAACTTATTTAATTTTAACAATAGTCCTATAAGACAGGTTCTATTGTTATTCCCGTTTTATATATGTGGAAACGAGGCACAATTTTAAGTGATTTGCCAACAGTCCCACAGCTGGTAAGTGGCTGAATTGGGATAAGAACCCTGAACATTTGTTTCCAGAATATCTGCTCTTTTTACCACTGCGATACTACCACCTTGCTGTTACTAAAGAGTATTTTTTCCCTTTACTGGTTGTAATAGAATTTTTGTTCTTCCAAAGTAATATTTGTATGGTTCAGATAGGATTGCAAATTCAACTAAGCATTTTTTTTTAACACGTAAGTGCACAGCATGACCTCAGGGATAGAGAGGTAAATAAGACATGGTTCTCGTCCTCGTGCGGCAACATGGTATAGTGGCTCACACCTGTATTTCCAGCTGCTCAGGAGACTGAGGCTGAGGCACGAAGATCGCTTGAACTCAGGCATTAAAGACCAGCCTGAGTAACCGTAGTGAGACCCCCGAATCAATAAAAAATAATAATAAAAGTTGTAACTAATATTGCTCATGCATTATCAAGTCATCCGTCTGTTTTCCAAGTGACCTTAGCAGTAGTGATACGCACAAAAACGAGATAAGGGAGAGTCCCAGAGGGATAGTTTTAGATCCAGGAATGGATATAAGGATGCTTCAAAGGATGTCTCTAAGATGTTTTGATTGCTAATCAGAAATTATTCTCATGGGATTAGCACAGTATTGTATTTTTTAAACATATAAAGTGAAATCTAGGACCTTGTATATTTTCATTCTTTTACATAACAATTTTCATTTTTACTTTTTCCGTAGGCTGGAATATTTCAGGAATTTAAAGTTCAGGAAGAGTCTGTTACTTTTCGAATTAATTTAACTGTCCTTTTAGACTGTTTGTCTATTTTTGGATCAAGTCCTATGCCAGGTAAACTATTATCAGTATAAAGACATAAAAGTGTTATATACAGTGGTCAGAAAAATACAGGAAGTTATTTGGAATATAAACATTTGTTCAGAAAGCTAATGCCAATTCATTTTTCGGTGGCCACAGTCATGGGTTCTAACATTTCACAATGTTAATTGCAAGTATGTTTATAGTTCTTTCATATTTGTAAAAGTATTTACATTCATCTTTTTTTAATTTACAGGGCTTTGAGGGATTTTAAATTTGAACTGGCCAAAAGAATACTTTGGACATGTCTTTAATATCTTTAACATTGTGAAATGTTTTAATTGCTTCTCTTCCCTAACTTGTCCAGAATTACTCAGCTAGTTAGTGGCAGAGAAAAACGAAAGCCAGTTCTCCTGACTCCTAGTTTACTGTGTTCAAAATTTGTTTCTTTTAAGCCATATTTTATAAGTTATGTCTATTTTGATAAATGATTTTTTGGTGTTTTTGAGACGGAGTTTCTCTCTTGTTGCCCAAGCTGGAGTACAATGGCAGAATCTCGGCTCACTGCAACCTCTGCCTCACAGGTTCAAGCGCTTCTCCTGCCTCAGCCTCCCAAGTAGCTGGGATTACAGGCACGTGCCACCATGCCCGACTACTTTTTTGTATTTTTAGTAGAGATGAGATTTCACCATGTTAGCCAGGCTGGTCTCAAACTCCAGACCTCAGGTGATCTGCCCGCCTCAGACTCCTGAAGTGCTGGGATTACAGGCACGAGCCACCGTGCCCGGCTGCCAAATGATTTTCTTGAAAATGTATATCTTTTTATTTGTTAAGGGAATTATTTTTAAGAATGGTGAAATTCAATTGCTGTAGGTATAAAACTGTAAGGAATCCCCAGAATTTTATTTCATAGGAAAGCAACCTGGAGATTAGCTAGGAAAAATTCAATATAGTTCTCCAGAAAAGTGTATTTTAACTTTCCACAGACAGTTCCACTGTTGAATTACACATTTTCTAATGACAGTGTTCTCCAGCTGGTTTTTCGTAAAAGCATCTGTCATGTTCCATTCCTCACTGTGGCTCTCAGTCCAGCAAGGAGAAGGACTTTGAATATCCTGTCATAGTCCTCCTTGCCGCTAGTGGCTTGCAGTGTTAAAATTTACACCACCATTAACAACCCTCTTTTTCTCTCAGTTTGATTTTAAAATGTGAGGAAATATAAATATCTCCCAGTTGGAAAAGTTAGAAGGATCCTTGTCATAGTGAGTACACTGACGTTACAGTACAGATGATAGCAATCCACTGTTACACACATTGAACCTTCAAGGAATAGCATACCCTGTTCTGCAGCAATTTAGTTACTTGCTGTGTTGATCCATATAGATTCTCTATTCTGAAATTTTATGGATGTAAAATCAACAAGCTACTTCTGAGGTGTTTATGACAACCTGAAAATGATTCCAAAGAATTATGTTACGTTTTATTCTGGTTCCCAGTTTTCTTGTATTTTTGGAATTGTCTACACACAACTGTCATCAGGGAAGATGTAATCCCTTTTTATGAGGAAATACATGTATGTGAGAAATTGGACGGAATAAATTATTCTTGAGAAATTTGATGTATCATTTCGAGGAGAAGCTGAACCCAGAGCTATAAAGCTAACGCCAAGTATGACTTCTTTCCATTGCAGGGACTTTAACTGCACTTCGGATGTGTTACCAAGGTTATGGTTACCCTTTGATGCTGTTTCTGGAAGAAGGAGGAGTGGTAACAGTCTGCAAAATCAATACGCAGGAACCTGAGGAGACCTTGGATTTTGATTTCTGCAGCACCAATGTTATTAATAAAATTATTCTGCAGTCAGAGGGGCTCCGTGAAGCATTTTCTGAATTGGATATGACGAGTGAAGTCCTACAAATTACCATGTCTCCTGACAAGCCTTATTTCAGGTACTTGAGAGCAGTGCAGTTATAGTTAATGTGGTCTGTACTCCCATCTTCCCACTTAGACATTTGCTTAGGGTGCAAAATTTTTATTATCCACATTTTTAGAGTTTTCACAACTTTAGACAGCTTGTACTGTTACCTCATAATTTTATGGTTCAAGAAACTTAAGACCCAGGAAGATTCACTCACTATGTCATATTTAGGTGGTGGTGGCATCTAGATGAGAAACCCAGTCCCCTAATTTATAAATGAGTGGTATTTTCATTGTACTACTACTTACTGTCATAGATCAGGTTACATCATGAGGAAAATTGGGTTTAAGTGTTTGAAAGGGTGTTTGTATTATGGTATCTTTTTCAAGTTCCGGTTGCAGAAGAAAATGTTTTCTACACATGGTTCATTCAGTCACCAAGTATCTGTTGATCACCTACCATGTGCTTATTCATCTTATTAAGCATTATGGGAAGAACAGCTTAAAACCAAGGTGAAACCAACATACGTGAAACAGCAAACCATTAAGTACCAATATAGCACACAGAGATACCTGGGAAACGCTTATATAAGGATTTAGAGATGATTGCTCAAAGCTGGCTTCCCAAGATAGGGCAGTTTTCAGCAGGAATACCATGTCAAAAAAGCTGCTCCTGATACTTTAACACAAGTGTCTGTTCAGGGTTAGACTCAGTTTAGAGATTCCAGCAATTTAGAGAGAGGATCTAAATATTCTCTTTTCAGAATATTTCAGGATCTAAATACTCTCTTTTTGAAATATTTCAGAATGTTAAATAAAGGCACTAAAGACATATGGAATAAAAGGAATAAGGTATT